CCGGCTCCTCCTCGCGCGCTGGGCAGCTGCGAGGCAGGACGCCTCTTCCGAAAGCGGCAGGCACCTGGGAGACAGAGGCGGCGGTACTCCACGGGCTCCAGATTGCCAGCCGCTACTGGGCGACGGATGCGAGGTAGGGCGCGAAGCTGATCCTTCGGTGGCAACTCACGGGAGCATCCCATGCCATCTTGCTGGCTCTTGCGGGTCGACGCTGATCGACGCAAGGCGACGCTAAATCGATGCGGGCCGACTCTACGTGTCGACGTTAATCTACGGTACATCGGGGCTTTGTCATCGATCACCGGACGCTAGCGTTAAGTCGGGTCTATACCTCTACAGGAGGAATATGAAAACCTTTTCAAACAAATCCGCCGATCCGGCGTGTGAGTTTCAAGGAGTCTCAGCTACAGCCTCGAGGCTGAGCCTCAGCCTCTGGGGGGGTTGCCGGGGTGGCTCTGCCGGGGAAGGGGGGATGGGGGGGGGGGGGTGCGAGTTTCCGGCGGATGCGGGGCGCTGCTTTTACAGAAGGCTCTAATCTCGAGGATGCGCTGGAAGGGTGGCCGCGGCCGCAAAAGTCGCTGAGGACGGTCTACGAAAGTCCCGAGACCCCGAAGGATCGCCCGAACACGCCCAAGATGGCCCCAAGACGGCCCAAGAGCCTTCCACGACGTCTGAAGAGGCCTCCAAGAGGCCTCCCACGATGGCCCCCAGAGGCAAAAATCGTTGATTCCCATTGGTGTTTTCAATGTTTTTGGGGTTGTCGCTTTTTCGGCTTTCCGACGCTCCAAGACGGCCCAAGAGGCCCCCAAGACCGCTCGAAGACGGCCCAGGAGGCCCCCAGACAGTCCCAAGACGGCCCAAGAGGGCCCCAAGGCGGCCCAAGAGCCGCCCAAGACGGCCCAACAGGCCCCCAAGACGGCCCCAAGAGGACCCAAAAGAGGGACGAAAAGCGGAAAAAATCTAGCCTTCCAGCCCACGAGGCCCCCAGGAGGCCCCAAGAGCCTCCAAGAGGGCCTCCGAAAGCCCCCAAGAAGCCCCCACGACGCCCTGACAGGCTCCTAAGATGGCTCAAAAAACGCCCCAAGAGGGCGTCCTTGCGCCGATAGGCTCGCCTCCACCGCTCGCACCACATCGTCCAGGCCACATGTTTCGTAACACGACTCCGTGCACGACGTATCGTGAGTTTCCAAAGTGATCGGCATCCTGTATGGAATTTTCATGTCATTATTATTTCCCGTCCCCACGGTCACTGCAAGCACCCCGCCGTTGATAGAACCACTGTTGCGAGATTGCTCTATTGACCCAACTGCATTCCTACGCCCTTTCGAAGGTAACCCGAGAAGTTTGTGCGTTTGAGTGTGCGCCCATAATGTCTGCGTCTGGAGAATAACACCGAGCGACCCGGATCGGCGGCACTGGCCGAAGGCCACTACAATAGTCAGGGGACGATGGTTTGAGTTGTTGTGTGACTATTTGGGAATCTGTTTGGGGGTATACTCTACTTGCCGCTCAAAATTCCCCTGCAGGGGGGACGTGCCCGACTTAACGCTAGCGCACGCTACTGCACTCTAGAGACGGAGTCTTGCCGTCGCTCGGACGTCCACTTCCCGTGCATTTGTCGGTTTCGTGCGTTTTTTTGTGCTCGATGGTCCAGGATGATCCTTGATGGTTCTTGCCGAGAAAAAATGCACACGTCCGAGCGATGCAAGGGAGTTGCGAGGACATACAAGGCTCCGCTTATTTGCTACCGAACTGTCCTGACCACGTAGCTGCCCTCGGGGTCGCTGACGTAGAGAACGCCGACGGACATCTGGGTGAGGTATCCGCAGCTCTCCAGCACCGGGTGGAGGAGGACCGAGGGAGCACGGTGCAAGATCGGTCAGCATCGACTCGGGACGTCGAATCGAGCAGGATTCTGCGTCGGCTCGGGCTGCATCGGCGCGGAGCAGAAATCCAGTCGGGTCGGCCGCGCCAGGATGCACACTGACACGATGCGAGCATCGGGCCAAATCGGATCGTCAGAGTATCGGAATCGAACCAGGTTGGACTGGCTCACGCCGAGATCGAATCGAATCGATCGGATCGCCCTGTTTGGAGGAGCGAGTCAGCAGCAGGAGAGCACCTTGGCCACGCCCATGCGCAATGGCACCACCCACCTGGCGCGCCGCGCCCATGGCAAACCGGCCACGTAGAACATGAGAGAGCCGGAGCAATCGGGCTTGCCGCGGACCAGGAACGGCCGGTAGGATGAGCCGACTATCCTGAGCAGCTTGGATCAGTCAGCGTCGAACCCGGAGATCGGATCCGGTCGCAACGAACATCGAATAGTGCCGCATCGGCACGCAGTAACCGCAATCGGGTCGGTTCGGCCGCGCCAGGATGCCCAGCGGCGCTTTGCAGAAAGCGGATCGCCAGGAAGCCGAAACCGAATCGGACGCGCTCGACATCGAATCGGATCGACTGGACCGAAACAGGGACCGGGGGAGGACTGGGAGGACGCCTCTCCACCTTACAGGGCAGTTTTTAAGACATTGGATTTCTCAAACAAATCGGTGTTTTAGTACATGAGTAAGTTATGGATAAATTTATGCATGAACTCATCGTTGTCTTTAATACTAAACCCCTGCATCTTCACTCCAGGATCCGCACGCGGAGCATTAAAAAAAAAAACTGCACTGTAAGGGGCCAGGGACACTCACACACAAAAAAACAAAGACACACATCCAAATATTCCCCATCTTTTCAATACTGTCATGATTCCACTCTTCCCCTCTCACATGAGTTCCCCTGTTTTCTTGGACGTCGACGACTCTCTGTGTCTGTGCCGGTTTCTCCCTCCTGGCGCCTGCTCCTCTTGCTCCAGGTTCTGCCCTCGCTCCTCCCACCCAACCAGGGAAAACCAGGGCGGACGACCACGCCATCGCTCGGACGTCCCTTCCCTATGTTTGTTTCGGTTTCGTGCGTGTTTTTTCGCCAAATGATCAAGGATGCTCCTTGATTGTCCTCGCCGAAGAGAAAATGCACACGTCCGAACGATGCCGACGACCACGCAAAACCCGCAATCTGCTGCAGCCTCAGGCAGCCACCGTGCTGCCGTGAGGCACGCCGAACAAGAAACGATGGGGCTCTCCCAGCCGCGGCGAACCGCGGCCACGAGCGGGTTCTCCCCGACCCAGATCCAACGAACGGCCCGGGAACTAGGAGGAGGAAGAGGAGGAGGAGGAGGAGGAGGAGGAGGAGGAGGAGGAGGAGGAGGAGGAGGAGGAGAAGGGGGAGGAGGGAAGAAGGAAAAGGAAAAGGAGGAGGAGGAGGAGGAGGAGGAGGAGGAGGGAAAGGAGGAGGAGGAGGAGGAGGAGGAGGAGGAGGAGGAACACCAAGCGGTCCTTACTCGCCACCGGACAAGTTGGAGCTGCTAGGTTTACGTGAAAGAGCTCCTGACCCGCCTCGCACACCCTTCATACCGCGGCAGCCAGGCCCCAAGGGTCCTGGCGACCCATGGGGGTCCCGCCTGGCGTCTTCGACCAGGACCGACTTGACTGCGGCTGCCAGACCCCGAGGACATGGTGCTCCATGGGTATCCCGCCTCGCGCTATCGGATGGGGATCACCATAAACAGAACAATGACAGCGTTTTGACTGCAGTGTCAGTTTGTGTTTTCCTGGTCGGGCGAATCGCGGGGTGGCGCCCGCCATATTAAAAATCAACGGGGCGGCGCCGGTGATTAGCGCCGACGCCTGGCCGCCGAGGGGCAAGGGGGGGGTGCATGGAGGCAAGGGCGAGCCATGGCGCCCCTCTTTCTGTCAAACCGATGCGGGCCTGCAGGCAAGGCGGGCTGGACGAAAGCTGGGCGCAGCATAGGGGGAAATGCCAAGTAGCTCACGCCGCCGATGTTCCAAGCGCCTCCTGGCGCCGAAAGCGGCCATGCGTCAAAAACTGTCCCTTCGGCGGGGCGACCGAAACCAGCTGCGCGCAGCAGGCTTTACATCCCCCCATTTGTTTCCTCAGCCTTTCGTCCGACCCGAGCAAGGCGGGTAGTCCTCCTCCCTCCCTCTGTCGTCGTCGTCGTCGCCGTCCCCCGCCCTGCCTGCGCCCGTTTCCAGCGGCCGCTCTCTTCGTCGACGACGACGACGACGACGGGACGAGGACGAGGACGACGGACGGCGGACGGCAGACGACGACGGCGGCGACGACGACGACGCACCGCGGATGCCCTATGGGGGTGGGGGTGGGTGATGCGCAGGTCCGCTGTAGTCGACGACGACGAAGACGACGGCGGCGGCGGCGGCGACGACGACGCCTGAAAGGGGGAAAGAAAATTAGCGCCGGATGTGTACGACCCTTATAACGACTTCTATACGACAGGCAGTCGTTTTTGAGGCTGTCATGCAGGGGGGTACACGATCCCTTTGGCGGCGCCAGCGACGACCCCTCGGCGCGCGTGATTCAAAAAAAAGTTTCGCGCCCCACGGAGTCTAGCCATCAGCCCCCCAGGGGGGGGGGCTTTTTGTTAATCACAAGCTGACAGTATTGGCGGCCTGGATGCTCCTTGCCTCAACTCCCAGAGAAGGCACTGGGCGGAGGTTCCTGAGGAAGCCGCACTTGTCCAGGATGGCCTGCCGGAGATCCTCGCAGCTGCACCAGACGGCGTCAGGGCCTGCAGGGCAGGGGCGGCCAGCATCGAATCGACAAACCAGATCGGGCGGGACGTACATCGAATCAGGCTGCGCTGGCATCGGCGGCGTCCAGGGGGGGCGTCTAAGTCGCACATCAAGAGGGTGGGATGCGCGTCATGACCCGAGGCATGTGCGCGGACCAGAGGGGTACCCGAATGTGCATAAACATAAGAAGACGGGGCCATGAAGCCCGGGGAGATATAACTAGAACCACGCGCGCGCTGCGCGCGCTTTGGTTCTAGCACGACGTGGCGACGGTCTAAGGTCTACAGCGTCGGAGTGCAGATCGACGACTTCGATCAAACATGACCAATCAACAGATTGTACCCTCCTTCTAAGTCCCCACTGATGCTACGCGATGAACCCCAATCGCCCCTATCCCTGCATTCTCATTTTGTTGGGCCAATAGAAGCACAGTCACCGTGGCAGAAGAAGAACTATTGCCGGCGCGGTGGACGCTTCCCACTCGGCATGCAACGAGACAACTTATATTCGTTGTCGACGCGGTGGACGTGCTCCACTCGGCGCGCAACGTCAATCGATTAATGAGTGCATCTTCGCATGCGATACGCTGGGGGCGATCACAAAGTCAAGGAGCGCATTGTCAGAGAGGGCGCAACGAGGAGGGGAAGCCGGGAGATAATGGGTGCTGGTGCGGTGGACGTGTGTCCACTCGGCGCGCAGTAACACCATGTAAGAAATTGTCTCGCAAATGTTGCACGTCCTCCTTGGGGCCGTTCTGGGTCCTTCGCAGGGTCGTCACTTTGACTCTCTTGCAGCCTCTCGGGGCCACCGCGGGCTTTCTCGGGCTCTCATGGAGCCGTCATGCAACAGCCTTCTTGAGACACCTTCGGGGCCCTCTTAGTATGCTCGTGGGCCGTCTTAGGTTCCTCTGGAGGCTCTCTTCGACCTTCCTGGGACCAGAGCCATACTGTATCATGCTGGGGACAAGGAAGGCTTCAGTGGTCGAGACCTCCTTGTCGGCCTGGGACCGGCCTCTGGATCGGCTGGAGGTGAGTTCAACATGTTGAAAACCAGCTTATCGATAGTACATATAGTTGTCGACTGCGTGATGATGACTTCTTGCTCGGCATTCATTGTAAATCTGGACCTGTCACCTCGCTATGGCGATGCGCAAAACCTCATCGCGGATGCATGCTTGTGCGCGGGCGTAAACTCTTGACATCGGCGCTGTTCGTAAAAGGCGCGAGCAGGGAACGCGAGGGCTCGGGGCCTCTCCAGGGCCCCAGATCTGGTCGAGATCGACGCGCTCCTCCGACACACCGATCACGGCATCCCCGATCTGGGTTACAGCAGCTGGGATGCCGGCCGGCGCGCATACTGTGGGAGATCGGCGAGCGAAATGGGTACGGGGCCACATGCGAACCCTACCCTACCCCCCACGATTTCTGAGGGGGAGGGTGGGGTTCACTTTGCTCGGGAGCTCCCTAACGAAGCGAACCCCACCCTCCCCCTCAGAAATCGTGGGGGGCAGGGGTAGGGTTCGCACGTGGCCCCCTAATGGGTGGGGGGGGCCCGGCGCGCAGAGGGGCAGCTGCACCTGCCCCTGCCGCGGCCACCTCGTTCGGTTTCCGTGCCTGCCGGCCCCCCCCCCCACCCCCGCTGCCTCAAAGGCACAGCTCCTGCCGCGGAGCCGCGGAACCGCCCCCCGTCCGAAACCCGACGGCCCCCGCCTTCCTTTTCCTCACTGTGCCTTCCCGTAGCACCCTACTCTCGCCTGGCGTCGGCCCCCAGGACCAGAAAGGCTGTCTGAAGGGTGGGCACGCCCCCCTTGGGGTCGAGAGCGGTGTAGCAGCTCCCCGACCCTTCCCTGGGAAACTCCCCCAACCCACCCTCGGGGGGGTGGGGTGGGAGGTGTTCCCGGACCCGAGAAAACCTAACGGCCAAATCTTCCCACTCCGAGGCGCACCGGGGTACAAAATCAGAGCTCCACATCGTACAAGATCAGGGCTCTCCACAGGGCGCTGGAAGCACGAACAAGTATGTTCAACGAGAACCTACAAAAAACTAATCTAAATTAAATGTGTTTTGCTGCCTGGGTGTCCTGGGGGCCCTTGGGAAGAAGTCTTCAGGCCTTTCTTGGGCCTCTTGGGGCGATCTGGGCCCTTCTTGGGGCGGCAACCTCGAAAAGCTCTTTCGTGCTCCCTCTTGTGGGCCCTTCGTGGGCACATCTGGGGGCTTCATTGAGCCGTCTTGGCCCCCCCTCTTGTCAAATTCGGGCCCGCGCGAGCCGTCTGTGGGTCATCTTGTGGTGGTTGAGGACCTCTCTTCAGCCGTCTTTGGCGCGCCGAACACCTACAAAAACCAATAGACATTACGGAGGTTCGTCTTCTGGCGTGGTCTCGTGGCCCTCTCTGGCCGTCGCTCGGACGTCCATTCCCTGTCTGTTTCGGTTTCGTGCGTGTTTTTTTTCCGCCAGATGGTCGAGGATGCTCCTCGAAGGTCCTCGCCGACAAAGGACGTGCACACGCCCGCGCGATGCCAAGCTCTCGTGGGCTTCTCTTGGGCCTTGCGGGGCGATCCGGGCCCCTGTCGGGACGGCCACCCGGAAGTGCCCGGTCGCTCTCCTCCGCTCTGTCAGCACCCTTGAGCGGGCTTGCTCCTCTCTCGGGCCGCCTTGGGGCCCTCCATGTGGGAACAAGGAGAGGAGACACCAACACCAGCAGGGCGAGGAGGTGCGAGGTGGCAAGGGGAGTCTCCCTGGTGGTGTGGTCCCCCCCTCTCGCTCGAGACATCCCCAGCATCCAGCTCGGGGAGGCATCGTGGACCTCCTCGCTGGAAATGGGCCCCCTGGTGGTGTTGGTATCGCTTCTCCTCCCTCCGATCCATGCCCTTCTTTGGGACGTCCTGTGGTGGTCAACAGCCCTTCTGGTGCCGTCATTGACGCAACAGCGAAAGCGTGCAAGAACCAACGAAATAGGTACAGCTGTTCGCCTCCTGGGGTCGCCTCAGGAACACCTTTGGAGGCTTCTCGGGCCCACTCTTGGGCCTCTCTCGGCCTTTAGAGGCGATCTGGAGCATCTTGGAGAGGAAACCTCGAAATGCTCGTTCGCGCTCCCTCTCTTGGCCTTCTTGGAGCCGTCTGGAGGCCCTCTTGAGTCGTCTTGGTCTCCTCTCGGGCCGCCCTGAGGCCCTCCAGGACCTCCTTCGGGACGTGTGGTGTACGACGCTCCTCTGGAGCGCCGAAAGCATGGCAAGTCGAATGCATCGAAAACGTACAACAACCAACAGAACAGCACAGTTTGTCACCTGCCTCCTGGGGTCGCCTCAGAGCAACCTCGGGAGGCTCGTTGGGCCCTCTCTTGGGCCACTTGTGGGGCTCTTGAGGCGATCTGGGAGCACCGTGAGGCGGAAACCTCGAACTGCTCGTTCGGGCTCGCTCTCTTTGGCCCTTCCTGGGGCTATCTCGGGCCGCCTTGGGGCCCTCCAGGGCCTTCTTTGGGACGCCGTGTGGCAATTTCGGGCTTTTCTCTGGCAGTCTTTGGCCCGCCGGAAACATGGCAAAGCCAATACAGCGAAGACCTAGCCTAGAGGCCTCCTCGATAGGGGTCAGAGTAGATGGGGTCGGAGGATTGCACCGTATCGCCGATGTATCGCCGATGTATCGGCGCTGCATCGGCGACGTCGGCGATTCATTGGCGACACCGGTGTGTAGAACATCGGTTTCCACATCGAGCCGCATCCTCGATGCATCGGCAATGCGGAGCGGTCCACGGAGCCCATCTACTCGGACCCCACCTGGGAGGTCTAGATACCCAAACCCAACGAAAACTAACAATTGTCGCCTCCTGGGGTCGTGCCGCGGTCACCTTGCAAGGCCTCCTGGAGAGTCTGGGCCTCCCTGGGCCATCTATAGGAGGATCTTGGGGCAGCACCTTCGCTCAATCAGGCCGTGATCGCAAACTTTGGCTCTTCTTTGGCCCCTCTTGGGGCCCTCTTGGGCCCAACAAGGCCCCACATCTGCGGTCGGGGGCCCGGCCCCTGGTGCCCCCGGACCCCGTGCGCCGTTCTTCACCAATCAGAGCTTGCCTCTGTGGGGCTCCTCACGGATTCATACAGGGCAGTTTTTAATACATCGGATTTTGACAAATAGGGGATATTAAATACATGATCAACTTATGAATGAGTTTATACATGAACTCGTCTAGTGTATAATACTAAATCAATGCATTGACAATACATTTTTTCCGCGCAAATATTTTGGAGAGGGAGAGGGAAGGCAGAGGGGAGGCGGCGAACCATCGATGAGCAACACACACCTCGTCCCACTCGGTGCAATCTGCGACTACCGCCGAAGTGAAACATGCGGAGAAAGACTACTGTATCCGCACGCGGATTCGCACGCGGAGCATGTCTTAAAAACAGCACTGTATAGTTAGGTGAAATTCGTCGCCGATTTCGGTGGGCGGCCCGGGTGCTCGGGTGCTCGGGTGCCCGGAGGTGCCGGGGTTCCTGGGTGCCCGGGTGCCTGGGGGTGCCCGGAGGAGCCCGGGGGTGCCCGGAGGTGCCTGGGGGTGCCCCGGTGCCTGGGTGCTCTAGCGCCCTATAGCCCTATAGCCCTAATAGCCCTACAGCCCAATAGCCTAATAGCCCTATAGCCTTACAGCGCTATAGCCTTATAGCCTTATAGCCCTATAGCCCTATAGCCCTGTAGCCCTATAGCCCTAAACAATTATGGTTGAATTTTTTTTTTTCTGGTATCATTTGTTTGTTTGTTTGTTGTTGTTGTTGCTGCTGCTGCGGTTGTTGTTTAATGTTCATTCCAAAATTATAACTATTGTTGATCTCCGGACACGGTTCCGCGCACTCTCGCCTCGACGCCGGCCACATTTTCTCTGAAAACGAAGCTCCCGCTCGACCGTTGGCTTGAGCCTAAATGTAGGCCCTTGGAGGCCCAGCTACGACAACAACGGCTCCCGCTCGAAACTTCCTCACAATTTACCCCGAGACCCTGGCCGGAGAGGCTCCCGAACTCAGGACCGGCGCTCTCAGAGACTTCTTCGCAATTCAATGAAGTTGGCGCAGGCCCAGCCACGACAAGGGCTCCTGCTTAATACTTCCTCACGATTTACTCCGAGAGCCTCTGGCCAAGAGGGCCCCCGAACTCAAGAACGGCGCTCTCGCTCGAGACCTTCCCGTAATTCAGGCAAGTTGGTGGAGGCCTGGACACGGCGACAAGGGCTCCCGATCGATATTTCTCCATAGGTATTTCGAGGGCCCCTGGCCAGAGAGCCCCCCGAACTCAGGAACGACGCTCTCGCTCGAGACTTCTTCGCACTTCTGTCAGTGGCCGACAAGGAAGAGCTGGCCCCCGAAAAAGGGTGCAATCGAAGACGAAGCGGGCGGGTATCGGAATGCAAGACACGCGTGCCAGTAAGAGCGAGCAGTCTAAAACTGATGGATGTTGTTGTTGGTGTTGTTGTAGGTGTTGTTGTCATGGTTGTTGTGGGTGTTGCTGTTGTTGGTGTTGTTGTTAGTGGTGTTGCTGCTGTTCCTGGCGAAGTTGTCGTTGTTGTTGGTGTTGTTGTTTTTTTATGTTGCTGTTGTAGTTGCTGTTGATGTTGTTGTTGCTGCTGTTCATGTTGTTGTTGATGTTGCTGTGGTTGTTATAGTTGCTGTTTCTGTTGTTATATATTTATATAGACGCACACATATATAATATATATATATATATACACATAGCCTGGCCACGATACCCAGCCCCGTAATCAGTCCTCGTCCCCCTATCGGCCAGCCCCAAGGAATCGCACCGCGCTGGCACGGAGCCGGACCCTAAGCGGCTGCGCCAGAGCGATCGAGCCTGGTGGGCCTGGCCGAAACCGCTCTGCCAGTGGCAGGCAACGGTTGCGGCCAAGAAGTATAACAGTGATACTGATGATCCGAAGACGACGACGTGCGACGAAAACGGCGGCCGACGGAGGCCGCCGACGCCGAGAGCGACGGCGATGTGGCGATCGAAGGACGGGGAAGGAGGGCGGCCATGGCGAGGGGGGGCGGTCCTCAAGAATCTGGGGAGGCGGCACCCTGCCTCTTCAGAATGCCCCGTGCTCGAGGATGGACAGAACCCCCTTTAGTAAAAGGTGGCTTAGTGAAGACGACCTCGGGCCCAAACCTGGCGGGCGCAAGCCTGAAAAGTGGTGGCCGCGGCGCCCTCTCGAGAACCGAAAACGAACAATTCACTAATCGACGTGTCAGGGTGGGTGTTCTGTCCACCCCATGAGCCACTTTTCCCAAAACCGTTCGGGCCTGCCCGAGTCCGTGGCCTCTGGAGTGCGTTGGCTACCGTGTCCGGAGGCGTACGGGGATTGGCGTGCGGGACGCCTGGCAAGTTGTGGGGAGCTGCTGCGCAACCTGTGCAGCAAGGTCTGCGACGGAGCGGGGGTGGATTGATGGAGGACGGGGGTGGGTACCCCATCAGAGGAGATGACGAAGTCTGGCTCGTTCCGGTTGGTGTGGCAAGGTAGGCGTTAGTCTTTGAAAGGTAGGCTGTGCTGGCACGAACTATTCTCACAGCGTTTCAAGAGTTTCACCGCGAGCTATGGGGCCAGGTGGAAGGAAAAGGCTCCTCGAGGTCGGTGTTGGTGTGTGGCTCGTCCGTAGTCTTGGGGCTTGTCCTTGTGTGGTGTCGGTGCTCTGGTGCTCGATCGCGGACCCTGGCACGGTTGTCGCCTGGTGTGCTCGAGAGTGCTATTGAATGCGCTCTCGTTTGGAGTCGGTGTGCTAATGCTCGGGCGTCGACCATGGCGCTGCTCGGTGTCCTAATGCTCCATGCGCGTACGACTCTTTTTCGCATGAGCCGGGAGAACGGAGGAATCAACTATTGCATCAATCTCTGCTAATCAGGTGCTGTTGCTTCATCAGCTCTATACGACAAGGCATGGTACTCTGACATAATAATTCTGAGGTGTACTGGCGGATCTTGCTTAGAAGGAGACAGTGTACAAGGTTTGCACACGCACGAGTGGTCGGCTAAGGAAGGGTGCGGGCTGACGATAGCCTCGGGAGTGGCTGGCCGAAGGGAGGCTCTGCGCGCTCCACCATAATTGCTGCCGAAGCAGAGGCCAGTTTGCCACCTAGAAAAACGCTGAGCTTTGAGTATATTGATCTGGCCTGGCAAAGGCGACATGGGGGGGTTCGTCCCGAGTTACCGTCGCCGCGGGGCGTATGACTTGATCACCAGAACTGGCACGTGATGAAGCCTGTCTACCTCAACATAGGCACATCCACGGCGTGTACAGAAACAAAAGGTGAGTAAATATAAGTCGTAATGGTAAACCGCTCCGTGCGGCCTACAATCGGACTGGATTGGAGAGGGCACGCGAGAGGACACAGGACTCTTCCGAGGGCTGCATTGCCATAGGAATGTAGAAGGCACGGGCCTCTAAAAACAAGACACTAAGGTACCCTTGCATTGGCAGGGTCGACCTACTAATCAAGGCCGACCGTAGTAACCACGCAGGCCAGTGTCGGCGACGGTATGGCGGGCGGGCGGCATGTATGGGGAGGAGAGCGCTGGGCGAGAAAGGCCAGACGCTCGGGACACGGCGACGGGAGAGAGGATCGGGCGATGGTTCGACGATGGGCCACGGGGTCCTGAGGGGTGGGGCCCCGAGGTCGAGGTGCCGAAAACGGTGCGAATCCACCCTTGGATCAACTCCTATCCTTGAGCCCCCGTCCCTCAGGGGCCCACCTCTGACACGCTGAGTCGGGTGGCGCAGACGCCCACGACACGCCCAGCGGCCCGTCACACCCGCGCGCCGCCGGCGGCCGAGCAGAGGCCGTGGATGCGGGCGATCGCCATCTCGAGCTCCTCGTTGCGCCGTCTGAGCAGCTCATCGCCCGGGGCCGAGGTGTCGCGCTTCTGCAGCAGCGCAGCGTGGAGCCCCGCTGCCCGGGAGGGGTCCCTCTGCTCCTCGGCCTCCTGCATCGCCTTCACGTCGTACTGGGCGGTGCCCGCGATGGCAAGCCTGACGGCGTTCTCGCCCTCGAGGTTCTCCACGTCCGGCATGGTCTTCTTGATGGCTGCCAGCTCGGGCTCCAAGATGACGGGAAGTATGTACCACTTCCAGGCGGGGATGACAACCGTGACGAGGCAGGCTGTCAATATCAATGTCTCGATGGCTGGGTCGAGGTAGTGTGTTTGCTGCGTCAGCGTCCCGACGGAGGTCGTGAACGCCTGCTTCCACGAAAACCCGATTAGGATCGCGATGCACGGGCAGAAAGCGTAGAGCTCCTCATCGAACGTCTCGCCTGTGCACTCGAGGTCCGCAAGCTGGTCGAGAACGACGATCAGAAACATGCCCAACATAGTCACCACAAGGGCCAATACCATGCCGCCAACCACGCCATGGACGCCCCAAGTTCTTCCAATAGACCAATTCAGGCCCCATAGGACACAGAACGCGATGCAATTGCCGAGGGTGCCCTTCAATCGGCTTTTCGTAACTTTCAACTCTATGCCGCGGAATCGTATGTGTATCAAGTTGACGACAACCATGGTGATCCCAAACACTAAGGCCATGAGGAACAGCTCATACGCATCCATCAATTGGGCGTGGAAACCTCGTGGGTTCGTCCCGTTGAACAGCGGCATGTCACCAGAAATCACCGCGCGGACGGCCTGGATGGAGAGGTGCGACACCGACATGTTCAGGACGCTCCCCTCCAGATCTGCCACAAACTTGTCCCACAGCGCTTCGTACTGGTCCATCTTGCCATCGTCGGCCAAGGCGGTCCAGTATCGCGCGCGGTGGGACACCCAAAACAGGACCAACTGACAGATCACACAGATCGGAATGACCAGGAAGATGGCAAGAGTGCTTTCGGGGTATGCCGTGCGGGCAGAAATTTGCACAAGGCCCCAGAAACTCATGCACGAGTTGCCGGTGATCATGCTCATCAGCGTCGCCCAGCACTTGCACTCCGAGACCATACTGTCTACACTTTTCGGCGCCTGCCCTATGGCGCCAGACAGATAGGCGAGCACCACCTGCAGCGCCAAGTACCAACCCAGGTATGCCCACAGACAGAGCAGGGCCTGTGCATTCTGTCCAGGTGCACTCCCTGTATATTCGCTATAGAAATACTTGTTCAAGCCGTTCCACGCACTCGTGACCAGCACGCCACAGAACGTGACGATGGCCGAGCTGACGATGGCCCAAGAGTAGTTGCGCCTGTCCGGGTCCTTGCTGTTCAGGAAGTAGAAGATCGGGGATGGACAGACCACCCTTTAGTAAAACGTGATTTAGAGAAAACGACCTGAGGCCCAAACCTGGCGGGCGCAAGCCTGGAAAATAACGGCCTCGGCGCCCTCTCGAGAACCGAACACGGACAATTCAGTAACCGACGTGTCACTGTTGGGGGCTCTGTCCGCCCCCGAGAAGAGGGTCATGATGAAGGTCACCGCGCCTAACAGCACGCAGCCCACGGCAAAATCGACGTGCGCCTGCACCTGCGCCTCCGAACCTGCCCTCCCCGGGGCGGGGGGAGGGCTCGCCTGCTGGACCCTGCTCCTGCTTGCGTTGGCCTCGGCCGCCTGCGCGTCCAGGAGTGCTGCCGGTGTCCCCGCCGTACCCACGCCAGCCATCGCGCCGCACGCCAAGGCCAGGAGAAGGGCGGCGCGCGCCGCGGCCATGGCGCGCGCCGGCGCCGCCGCCGCGGCAACCCGCGTCGGCTGGCGCAGCCTCTCGGGAACAGTCGGCCTTGAGTTGGAAGCTGGGCGAGGGCCGGCAAATCCGTGGCTGTTAAAGCGGTCTTCCCGAAAGAAACCAAACTGGCTACGGGCGGGTCTGCTGGCGGATGCAGGGTAGCTTCGACCAGGATAATAAGGATGCGCGGTAAAGATGCAGGGGCCTTGGAACGCCATGTTGACGTTTCCGTGCGGAGCGCAGCAGAATGCCGAAAGATACCGAATACTTGCCAAGGGTAGCCTTGGAAAGTTGCTCCATCCTTAGTATCATGGTTGACTGTAGCCCGGCTTCGAAAGGTGATGCCAGGCAGCGCGCACTTACGGCTGCCTCGTCTCGGCTTGTGGGGCTGAGACGTTCGGGCCTGCGTGAGTCGGTTCAGCTGCCCCTTCGCACTGGTAGGTTTAGGTCGGGCCTGTGCCCTTACAGGGTTTTTTGGGAGAGAAATTGAAAATACAAAAAAAAAGTTCCAAAAATGATCAAACATAGCCAAACAAATCGTCGATTTTTGACTATTTCTGAATATTCCGCCTGTAGAAGAACAGGCCCGACTTACCAAGTGCACCTGGTGTGCTCGTGATTGGGCAGATTCGAGGCCACGCGCCAGGGTCTGTCGGGTGTTCGCTGCGCGCCGCCGCGTGGCGCCCCGAAGCACTCGACTGAAAATTCCGTGCTCCTCGCCATCGCTGTGCCAAGTCCAGCGCAACAGTCCTGCCGTGCGTCAGTGGGAATGAATGTGTCCGCGCCGCCGTCGTCGCTGGTGCCCTGGTGCAAGGGCCGCTGGAAAGACCGGCACGGGCAGGGGGGAGTGGGAAAAAGAGAAAGGGGGGAAAAGCGGCTGGAATTATCGGGCATGTCCCCCTACTGGCGGATTTGGGGCGAAAAAGCACGAATGATCAATACATACCCCAGAAATTGTCTAAAATAAAATCGTCCCCATACTAATTCTTCAACAATATCTTTGAATATTCCTCCTGTACAGAAACACGCCCGACTTAAGGCTGGAAGTCGTGAGGGGAACGGGAGGAGAACAACAGTGCGGGCCTCTGCGGCGGCTGGCCCGCCGCAGCCCTCGCTCGGAACGCGGGGGGGCAGGATGTCACCACCGGGGTGGACAGCCAGAGGCAACCCAGATCGGGGCTGGGATGGCGATGCGCGGACACAGACTTGTTTCATCCTCATCCTCATCATCCTCATCATCCTCATCATCATCCTCATCATCATCCTCATCATCTTCATCCTCATCCTCATCCTCATCCTCATCCTCATCATCGAGAATTCGATTCAGAAAGAGGAAGGGGGAACACTGGGAATTCGCCGACCCCTTGGGGTCTACTCGGCGTGTGAGATTGCTACTGCCCCTCCCCAAAATCCTCCCCCAGGAGCCCAATGCGGCCGTTTGAATGGGGGGAGGGTTGGTAAAAAGGTCCGGCGGCCCCGGCAGCCCTAGAAATTCTCATGGACGGCTTCAGGCGGCCTCGAAATGGCCCCAAAACAAAAAATCGCCTCCGCGTAGCCCCAGATTGCCCCAAGACGTCCCAAGCAAGATGGCCTCAAGACAACCCAGAAAGCCTCCAAGACGCATCATTTCATGCCCTGACATTTGCAGCTTGCCCGCCATCAGACAAACTGCTGCACATCGAACATGCATCGGCGCCGTCGGCGTGGTCAACATCGGACTCCACATTCGAGTCGGGCGAAAGGGGGGGATAGCAAAGGTGGGGTTTGAGAATCAGCTGACGTAGCTGATTTTCCCGGCGCCTCCTGGCGCTGGACGCGGCCATGTATCGAGGAATGGGCTCATCGGTGGGGCCGAAACCAACTGCATGCAGTAAATTCCGTAACTCCCCCTTTCCCTACCCCCCCCTTTCGTTCGGCCCGACACATCGAGCCGTGTCGCCTCGTATCCTCGGACCCTATTTGCGAGGCCTGGGCAATCGGGCCTGGCTGTGAGCCTCCTATTGAACCTGGGACTCTATCTTGAGATCGGCGACCGATGCGTAAAATGCTTCATGACTGGGCTCCCTTCGGGCTCTCTCCCTGTAACACAGCTCCCTCCGGCCTGCGGGCCGAAAGCGGCACCTGTGCCGCCGGGTGCCCTCGTGGCGTCCCAGGAAAACAGGCGAGTTGGCAGCCCGATCGTCAGCAGAGCTCGACGTGGCTGTGGAAGAGACTCTTGCCCTGTGGTTGGCCAGCCACAGTAGGTGCGGGCCCGCCGTACCACCCCTGAGAGGCCCGATGGGGTTACTCGAAGGGGTCCCCCGACGTGGGGGGCGCGGGAACTTAAGTCCTTGGGCAGCGGGGTCTCCGCTGCTTGAGGCCGGCGGCCATTTGGGGGTGGTGCCAGTGGCCATGTCTCGGGGTGGCATCTCGAGGCATCTCGCAACGGAGGCGCAGATGTGACGCCTGGGGCGGGTCTGTATCGCCGTTCATGTTGCGATGTCCGACTGCATGTGAATTCATGCAGGCGCCTTGGGCACCTCCCTTCGGGGTTTGTCGCCCAGGTGTTCTGTCCGGGCTAACAAACTGCGGGCCGAAAGCCCCCGACCAAGACACGGGGGTAACACGAGCCTCTGCTGGCCGCACCCAGCCGCGGCGCAGTGCAGAGAGGAGCAGGCGGCGGAGCAAGGGCACACAGTAGGGGCCCTTCCACGAGAAGCCTCCCACAAGAGACCCAACCCTGAGACCCCAGGACGTCCATTGATCTCCGGTGCGGGAACTTCGCGCCTTCCACAGCAAAACCATCGAGATCCAGGGAACCCAAGGCACCCTGGAGGCAAGCAAGGCGCTTCTCTGCATGGGTCCCCACTGTAATTGCGCGCTCTCACGCTGCGCGAAGGCCTGCGCGAAGCGCGCAGCGCAAGGCTCGAGTTAAACAGTGTTTTCCGCTTTCGTTCCAGATTTGCTGCAAAACGAAGTCAAAACGAAAACGGTCCACGAAATTGCCAAAACACCGTTTAGCTTAGCTCGAGCCCTGGCGCAGCGCAAACAGCTTCGCGCTCTCGCGCGGCCCCCCGTGGGGAGAAGAGGAGGACGAGGAGCAGGGCTGGACCCCGACGTCATTTTCCGTTGTGTGTTCGCTTTGTTCTCGTTCTGCTCGACCAGTTTTCCAGTGCCTCCCTGCCAAAACGAACAACACAACACGGCCGAAGTCCGGCAAACCAACGTTTAGGTCCAGCCCTGATGAGGAGGAATCGGAGCCGAACCGATGAGCGCGAAGCGCGAAGAACTTCGCGCCCTCGCATCGGTGAGACGCAAGACTCGGGTTCTGGGGACTCGGATTGGCCTGACGGATCATGTGCATGGCGGGACACGGTCTGAAACTTGACGCGAGCTCCCGCTGCAGAAGTCCCACGAAAACTGGGTCGCAAACATCCAGGACGCGCTTGTCAAAAATCGCAGGCGTACTCTAGCCTTAGGTCGGGCATGTCCTCCTACAGGCGGATTTTAGAAGACAGTTAATTTAAAAGTAATCATGAAAGTCGTCCCCAGACTGTGTGCTTGACTGTTTTTGAATCTTACTCCTGTGCTGGAACACGCCCGACGTAAGTCTAGCCTTACGTCTCCCCGAGTCTTGTTCCATTGCATGCTCCTGCGCTTTCCTGTCGGAAACAACTCGCCTGGACATCGTCGCTGGATGGACTCGCGGGGATACGCGAAGCGTCACTCATCCGACGAACACGTACGTCCAAAGACTGGCGTGTCACTTCGCGCCCTCGAGGGCGCCCTTGGCGGAGGTGAGCACGGGATATGTCGACCCCATGCCAGGTTTCGTGGGGCCTTCGAATGTACCAACCATTCGGGGCCCCATCCTGAGATAGAGGATGGGGGGGGGGCCATCCTCGATAGGGGTGCGTCCGAATAGCCCACTGGGGTGTATCTAGAGGCCTCCTAGATGGGTCGGAGTAGATGGGGTCGGAGGATCGCGCCCTATCGCCGATACATCGGCGATGCATCGGCGATATGTCGGCTATAAATCGGCGACGCATCGGCAACACCGTCGATGCATCGACGACGTCGACGTGAAGCACATCGGGCTCCACATCGAGCCGCATCGCCGATGCATCGGCGATGCGGCGCGATCCTCCGACCCCATCTACTCCGACCCATCTGGGAGGCCTAGGGTCTGGGCGGCTTCATTCAGGAGGAGAAGGAGGAGGAGGAGAGGGAGGAGGAGAAGGAGGAGGAGGAGGAGGAGGAGGAGGAGGAGGAGGGGGAGGAGGAAGCGGAGGAGGGGGAGGAGGGGGAGGAGGAGGAGGAGGAGGAGGAGGAGGAGGAGGAGGAGGAGGAGGGGGAGGAGGGAGAGGGGGAGGAGGTGGAGGAGGAGGAGGAGGAGGAGGAGCATAGGGGAGGATGCATCAACCTGGAATCGGCGACACATCGTCGATAGATCGGCGACAAGCCCCCGATAGCGAACCCGCACCTTCCTGGGCGGGGTGGGGCTATCGGGTCCTTATCGGCGATCAATGGGCGATTGAGGATCAATGCATCCCCCATATGCCTATCTCCCCCCTATCTCCTCCCCTGAGATGTATGTAAGCCACAGTCGGACCCACATCAGAAAAAAAACATCCCTAAAGAACAGGAGACCCTCCGTCGGCCAAATCAAACAGAACATCCAAGGGTACTCCAGATTTCGTAATAAAAGGGAGGGGGTCTCAACCCTCCCAGACGAAAAGTTTTAGACCCTCCCAGACCATCCATGAAAGGGCGGCCCTTTGCCCAGACCCCCCCGAGCCCTCCAAGACAGCTCAAATTAGACCCCCCCCGAAATGTGACCCCCCCCACTTTATTATGAAATCCCGAGTAACCCCTCCACTGGATGCACGAAAGCATCCAACGAACCCGAAGAACACCAGGGCATCCTGCCCGAACCGACCTCGATCTCATACCTCGGTCGGACAGTGAGACGAAACCATGAAGGGGATACATTCTGGCCATCGCTCGGACGCCCGTTCCCTGTGCTGTTCTCGGTTTCGTGCGTGGCTTCTTCGCGGGATGATCCAGGAGGCTCCATAATAATCCCCGCCGAGAAAGAGTGCACACGTCAAAGGGATACCAAGCATTTGGGTGAAGACACATCGAGAATCTCTCAGATCCAGCGGACCTGGAGGACGTCTCTTAGCGGCGCGCAGAGGGGGGTAGGAGGAGC